AGTGTCATCGAGTTGGTTCTGACTCATAGTGACCCTGTATAGGTTTTCCAAGGAGACAGGAGATGGACAAAACTTCAAAGCATCAGCTATATTTCATTAGAACAAGAAGGTGAGAATAAAAAGGATATTTTCTTATGACAGAATGAATTTCAGAGGGTATGGCAGAAGGCAGAGTCGGAAAAGAAAAAAGGTTGAGAGATTAAATCAAATTAGATGATACAGAAGACATATGCTAATAATTGTTTCAGTAATAATGATGGATTAACTAAAAGTCATAGATTTGTTAAGATGATTTAAGTAAACCGAAATACAACATATAAAGGCATCAAATTTTATGGCATTTGGGGGACAATTGGGTCATCAGCTATAATTAGAGCTTCTTTCTTGGAATTGGTCCATTTGTTTATAGTGGTGAGGTTTAAGTGATGCTATGGTTTAAAGACTGTTGTTAGCTGTCATTAAGTAGAGTCCAACTCAATGGCAAACTCAGGTGTGCAGAAAACTCTTCCATCAGATTTTCAGGCTATGACCATTCAGAACCAGATCACCATGTCTTCCACGTGCCTCTGGGTGGGGTTGAACCTCAAACCTTTCAGGTAGTAGTCTAGTAATTGAATGTTTAACTATTTAAGCCAGCTAGGGACTCAAATTTAAAGGTACATCTAAAATATTTGTAAAATTATTCAAAAATGTTTTCAATGCATTGCCACACTTCTGACTCTCTATGTGTGAGGAGAAACAAAACTATTTTCATTTGCCCCGCTTTCTTTAAAGTACCTACCCAACCCACACGTCCCTCTCTAGAGGACATCCTCTTCTAGTTAAAGAGGAAAAATGAGGCCATTAGACTATATTTATCTTAAACCCCTCCACCTATAAACTTTTCTATGGTCTTCCTTATTCATTGTTCAACTTTCACATGTATATAATGTTACTGAAAATGTCTGGCTTCTGTCAGTTCTCAAACTGGTATCTTTGCTCTTGAACACTGTATAAGAGGGCCTGGGCAGCAGGTCTGCCTAAAGCAATACGTTTGATTTCTTGCCTGCTGCTCCCATGAGTGTTGATTGTAGACCTAAGTAAAACAAAGTTTTTGACAATTTCAATATTTTCTCTGTTTATCATGATGTTATTTATTGGTCTAGTTGTGAGGATTTTTGTTTTCTTTATATTGAGGTGCAATTCATGTTGAAGGCAGTGGTCTTTGATCTTCATCAGATAGTACTTTAAGCCCTTTGCTTTCAGCAAGCAAAGTTGTATTATCTGCATATCACAGGTTGTTAGAGCATTCCTCTAATCTTGATGCCATGATCTTCTTCATATGATCCAGCTTCAAGGATTATTTGCTTAGCAAAAAGACCGAATAAATATGATGGAAAAATACAACCCTGGCACACACCTTTCCAGATTTTAAACCACTCTGTGTCCTCTTGTTCTGTTCAAATGACTACATCCTGGTGTATGTATAGGTTCCTTATGAGCACAAAGAAGTGTTCTGGAACGCTCATTGCTCTCCAATGTTATCTATAGTTTGTCATGATCCACACAGTCGAAAGCCTCTGCACAGTCAATAAACCACAGAGAAACATCTTTCTGGTATTCTTCTGCATTCAATTAAGATCCATCCGCCATTAGCAATGCTACCCCTCGTTCCAAGTCCTCTTCTAAATCCAGCTTGAATTTCTGTGGATCTACTGTTGCAGTGATTTTCTAATTATATCCAGCAAAATTTTACTTGCAATGTGATACTAATAACACTGTTCAATGATTTCCACATTCTGTTGGGTCATCTCTCTTGAGAATGGGCACAAATATGGATCTCCTTCAATCGGCTGCTGGCCAGGGAGCTGTCTTTCAAATTTCTCGGCATATAAGAGTGAGTGTCTCCAGTGCTTCATCAGTGTATTGAAAGATTTCAATTCATATTCAAAGAACTTCTGGAGCCTTGTTTTTCACCAATGCCTTCAGTGCAGCTTAGACTTCTTCCTTCAGTATCACTGGTTCATGATCATATGCTACCTCTTGAAACAGCTGAACGTTGACCATTGTATCTTCCATCTTCTTACAACGCTTTCTGCATCATAATTCTTAATATTGCAAGTCGAGGCCTGAATTTTCTCTTCAGTTCTTTCAGCTTGAGAAATGCTAAGAATGTTCTTCCCTTTTGGTTTTTTAACTCCAGGTCTCTGCACATTTCATTCTAATACTTGACTGTGTCTTCTTGAGCTTGTCCTTTGAAATTTTCTATCGAGCTCTTTACTGCCTTATTTCTCTCACTGGAATAAGAGGAAAGGAATCCACAAAATGTTTGGAAATGGTTAGAAAGAAGTCCACAGTATTGTACAACGTGTAACACACACTGCAGTAGTCTGATGCAAGGGGAAAGTAAAGATAACATCCATCTGTAATTTCAATGTATAAAAGTTACTTACATAATGCTGTAACTCAGAGGTTAGCAAATTATAACTGTGGGCCAAATTCAGTCTACCAGCTATTTCTGTAAATAACTGTAGTAACACAAACATGCTCATTCATTTATGTATTGTTTGTGGCTACTCGTCACTACAATGGCAGAGTTGCACAGTTGTAACAAAAATCATATGATATACTTGGGCAATAATTAATATTCTCTAACCTGGATTGGGGAGTCCTGGTGTGGCGCTGTGGGCTAATGCATCAGACTGCCAAGTCATTTGAACTACAAGGTTGGTGGTTCAAGCTCACGAGTTGCTCCTTGGAAACCCTAGGCAGGGTTGCTATGGGTCAGAATCAACTTAACGGCTCTTAACAGCAACAACAACAACCTGGACTGGAGTTTTGGTGTGGCACTGAAGGATAAAGCACTAGACAACAAGGTTGATTTGAACCGAAGGTAGGTGGTTAAAACTCACCAGTCACTCCTCGGAAACTATACCTACACAGGGCAGCGTGCTTTGAGTCAGAACCAAGTCAACGACACTTAACTGAAACAACAAACCTGAACTGACTCTAACAAAGACAAAGTTTCCACAAAGAAAGGATGAAAAAACAAAAAATAGAAGAAAAGCTAGTGAGTAAAGAAGATGGATAACGAGGTGTATGTGTGTGGGAGGATAAAGTTAATTAGGAGTTTTTGAGAGAATGGAAAGCAATGATATTAAAACAACCAGATAAATGTTGTAAATAGAAAGAAAACAATGAATAGAGAGGAAAAAAGGAAACAAAGAAAGTGAAACTATTTTTTTAAATATGGAAAACTGCCACATTTAAAAAAGCATGGAACTATACAATTTGAAGAATGTAATAAATGCTACTTATTTGAACATGTAGAAAAGGCTGGACTAGTATAAGTTTTGCTGTATATATTGTCAACAACAAATTTTAAAAAACAACCAACAAACATAAAAAGCCTATTAGCACTGATCCTTTAAAAAATCTTGTATTTACCTATCCAAAGAGGCAAAAAGTCCAGATTTTCCTCCTACTGCACAAAGTACTTTGGGAGCACAGCGAGGTCGCGTCATCAAGACTGTCTGATGAGAGAGTCTATGTTCAGGCATAAAGTGGTACTTTAGGGCTTCATTTAAAAGATGTTTACAAGTGCGATCATCACGAATAAGATGATTTGCTTCATATAGTCTAGTGAGAAACTTAACACTCAACAATGGCAATCGCACACTGTTTAATAGTTGTGCTAAGTATTTCTGGCGTTCTTGTACATCGTACTTAATCCAAGACTCCAGGGCATAAAAAACAGTCTCTTCAGTAGCTACATTCAAACAGTCATTGGAAACAATTTCATCCAAATCAGCATGTGTTAGCTCAAAAAACTCTTCAGTCTGGCAAACAGCTTCAAAATTCTGGCATATGTACTTAGTGGCTGCCAAATAAAGGTCATGACAACCATACGTCTCTGCAAAACGAGAAATTCCAATACAATTACCAGGATCAAGCTGACTTTCAAGAAACGCACAACATTCTTTCAGGACAAGTTTTATCTGCAGTAAGTTTGCTGCTGGAAGAAGCGATTCAACTGTGTCCTGAGAAATAAAAACTGTCCCTGTATATGCATATTCAACAATGGCCTGAAGAGCAGTTTCATCAATGCACTGAAATTCAACTTCACTGTTCTCTTTTTCAGATAGGTTTCCAGTGAACATAGCTTTGAAATATGGGCTGATGCTGGCAAGTACCACTTTGTGAGCATGAATTTTAACATCACCTACTCGAAGGATGATGTCACAGAGTTCATGATGTTGACGAAGAAGATTCAAGCCTTGCAGAAGTTGTTCAGAATGTAAGTGGGTTAGGTTAGCAAGCATGTAGGTCGGGGATGTGTGGTCCATCTACAGGAGAAAAGGGAGGGGGGGAAACGTAAAGTTATTTCAAAATAATCTTGGCAATACATCTCCCCCCCCGCCCCCAAATAGCACAAAATAGATCATATTCATTAGTTTTTTGTTTTTAAATCCCTTATATTAAATACAGAGTTCTGGTGTGACACTGTGGGTTAATGCACTGGACTGCAATGTTGGTTTGAACCACAAGGCCGGTGATTCAAGGTCACTATCTCCTAGGAAACCCTATACTGGGTCACTATGAGTTGAAACCAACTCCATGACACTAATAACAACAATAACAGCAACATACTAAATACTAGATCAGAGACTTTAAGAGTTCAAAGAAATTTTAACCATCATATAACTTAACTCCTTTATTACAGATAATGAGGTCCAATACGTTACATTATATGTCCAAAACATAGGTCTCTTAACAATGAATTTTTGAATCACAAGTCTGCCAACTCTTACATTGTCTCCCTTTTTAAAATTCAAGTCTGAACAGGTACAGAGGACCCTAGGACCACCAAGAGGGAAGAGCATGAATGGACTGTAGGATCCTAACCAGAGAAGCAGCAACATCAGAGATGGAGGCAGAGGTGATGGCATGGAGACATAATAGCACTTAACAAAAACAACCAACAAAGTAGGGCAATAAGGCTCACTTATTGGCCTGGACTGAATCTGTTCAACTCTTCTTATATATTCAGATAATGCCCAATCTACTTTCCACTTTATGCTTCTAGAAGATGAAAAGAATAAAAACAGGAGAGAAGAAAAGGAATAAGGTATTAGGGAGAAGTGCAGTGCAGACCTCCGACAGTAATAACACAGAATACCACACTTACTAGGCTCAGAAGACAAGCACAGAACTCTGAATTACAGATAAAAGAATATTTAAAAGGACCAAAAGCTTACTGTTTGTGAAATTTGTAGCAGAAGCAAGAAAAGCGGCCTTTTTTGATCTGCGGCTACAAGTGGATACCAGAGTGGCCATCTTGGGTGTGATGGAGGAGAAGCAGAATCAGAGGAGTGCTCTCACCACAGAGGTCTGACCCATCATTGGAGATAACAGTGTGAACATTTTTCCTGTTCAATGGTCTCTCACTGTCTGTGCACCTTCACTCTGGTGACTAGAGGGGGTGCCTGAGCAAGTGGAATCCTCCCCACCATTGGAAGGATTCTACTACACATGTGCATGGATTTGCTCAGCAAATACCACAGTACATAGAATCTAAGAAGGGAGAGACATCAACAGGAACCACTTAAAATGGACCAGTCTCCCAAAATGACTACAGCAGACTGAACAAGGGGCGTTAAAGTCATACTCATAGTTTGCTACAGTTTTATTTTCTTATTTACTTTGTGATTACAGACCGTAGTATCCAATCTGTTTTTGTTTTTTTGCTGCTTTGTTTTTTGATTCCCCTTTTACCCTGGGGGGACTCTTTCTCTCCCTACATTACCCAAGAAGAGACAACAACTATGGTCAAGCTACAATCACACCCTATAAAATTCCACCATCCAGGAAAGAGCCAATACCAGCTGCTATAGAGTCTTGGTGTGGCACTGCAGGATAATGCGTCAGACTGCAAAGTCGTTTGAACTGCAAGGTCGGTGGTTCAAGCTCACCAGCTGCTCCTTGGAAACCCTATACAGGATCACTATCAGTCGGAATCAACTCGACGGCACTTAATAATAACAAAAACATACACCAGATAGACAGCCACCACCTGCTACAGTTACTCTGAGTTGAATAATAAGAAAAGTAAAAAGAGAAGCCCATCTCTGGTTCACATCTACCTGAAGGCAATCAGAAAGCTTAATAATACATCAACATACATTCATCTAAGTATTGAAAACACATCTAATTATTGAAGAAGCCAAGAGGCAGTCTAAAATTTCAGAACATGTCCAGAAACAAGATAGAGTAACTGAAATAAATGAGCTACAGGTAGACCTAGACTTCCTACTGGAAGGAGGGCAGGCTTTGGAACTGCCTGAGAAGGAATTCAGGAGAATGATATTGAGGTGAATCCAAATATTCTATAGAGGGGTTGAGAAAAATAAGGAAGAAATCAGGAAAGAGCTACAGGAATTAAAAAAAAAATGCATTGAAAACAATTAAAAACCTGCAAAAAGAGTTCCAAACGATTAATAATAAAATATCTGAAATGGACAATACACTGAAAGGGTAAAGGAGTAGCACTGAAGAGATGGAAGCCAGAACCAGTGAACTGTAAGACAAATCTTTCAATACTGCTAAGAAAGAAGAGCAACCAGAAAAAAAAGGATAAAAAAAATCTGAAGGAACTCTAAGATTCATGTGGGTCAACTTGAAGAATAACTTGAGAATTATTGGAATTCCAGAACAGGAAGAATCACACAAAACCACAGAGGAGCTAGCTGAAGAGCTGCTGGAAGAAAATTTCCCTAACATCCTGGAAAATGAAAAGATAAGATTCAAGAAGTTCAACAAACTCCAAGAAGGATGCACCCCAAAAGAATATCACCAAGACATATAATTTCTTGTTGTGAAGTGCTAACAAGTCAGTTCCAACCCATAGCAACCCTGTAGAGGGTTTTCGAGGAGCAGCTGGTGAGCTTGAACTGCCAACATTGCAGTTCAAACGACTTTACAGTAAGGCGCATTAACCCACAGCGCCACACCAGGACTCCAGGCATATAATAAGCTCTCCAAAATCTAAGATAAGGACAAAATCCTGAAAGCAGCTAGGGAAAAGAGAAGTGTTACTTACAAGGAAAGCAAATAAGATTAAGCTCTGATCTTTCAGCAGAA